TGACTGCATTTTTTGGGTCCTTACTTTTGGGACATATTTTTGGATGGAAGATTTTGGGAAAGTTATCAATATTCTTATACAATTGTAATTCTTTGTACACGGGTGCTACTCTCTCGATATCTTGTGAATATCACTATTTACACTTTTTATTTTAAAAAAAAATATTCCCCGACACATAAAATCTTTATGTGGGTGGATGGTAACACTTGTGTTCTTTTTGAGAAGAGAGTACTCTACAAACACACATTTTAAGGCTTTAGGATCAAGTTTTCCTCTTTGATGAGAATCAATATGAACAAAGGCAAACACCTAAATATTGGAGGAATGAGATGGTTTGTGGTGCTGACTTTGGACAGAACTTGGAAAGTAATTACAGTGGACTTTTAAAGTATAAGGCGATTGGGCATTGTTATAAGATTAAAAAATATTCCCTTATATAATAGTGTGATTGTTATAAGTTGACTTTCCGTATGCATTAACATAATTATAGGCCACAAATTAATAGAGTAATTTATATTTGTTACCATACATAAATCACTCTGTATGTACATATATCCCTAACCTATTGGAATGAAATAACAAAAAATATTCTTATATTTTTGTGTCTGATTACAAAGATTATTAGTTAATAATGTAAATTCTCCTGAGGTTGGGCTTTCTAGTGTGGGCGTGCAGCTGGAACAGTCCACACAAGCGCTCCCCTTGGTGTGTGCGAGCTCAAGCGTGCGTGCGGCAGCTTCTGGCTGCATAAGTGCACCTCTTTGTTGCGTGCGACTTCAGTCCTTTCGCGCACCTCTGTGCTTCTTCACGCGGAACATGTCCCCACATGTGCCGGTGCTCTTTCTTGCTCATGTGCATGCCTGCACATGCGCAGAAAGCGGCTGGCTTGTACTGCTTGTCTCTGCGTCTGCATGCTGTGCGGCATGTGTGCGCGGCATCCTTGCGCTTGCGCATTGTGCATGTTGCATGCCCTTCTCTCCATGCAGCTGCAGACTCCCGGGTAGTTGTCCTACCGGAATCTTGATTTCTATGGGGTTCCTCCTTGATACAGGACTGCATCTACTATCAATCATGATAAACATAACTGGGAGGGAGGGGGGATCCCAATTTCCACAAGAAAGCAAACATCGCAATTCTTGTTACTGTTATGGAGAGATACTTCACAGACTATCAATGTAAGTTGAAAACAGTTATGGTAGTGGAAGAATGTGAGGAACATGATGAAGAGGGAAAGAAGAAAATCAGGAGTTAGATCAACAAGAAAACAAGAATGACACTGGAACCCTTTCGCTACAAGCTATTGAGGTATCTCCTCGGGTGGAACAGTAAGAATCAGACGACTACTCAACAAAAAACCCATTATGATCCTCCTAACCACTGGTAGTTCACATTCATTTTTGGACTCCTCTGTGGTTGAAGGATTACAAAAGAAATTGGTATACTATAGGTCACTCACGGTGGTGGCTAATGGTCACAAGATTACTAGCAAAGTGGAGTATGTGAGAGTCCAATGGAGAATGTAGAATTATGACTTGTGCTACAATTTCATGATCATTCAATTGGGAGGCTATGTATGATCTTGGGGATAAATTGGATAAGGATGGACAATCTCAGTTTTTTATTTTGCTGAATCAAACGTGAGTTTCAAGATGAAGAGGAAACTGATAACATTATTTGGAGAGAAGGTTCCTGATAAACTAACCAAATTGTTGAGAGATAAACTTAATAAGATGTTAAAGGGGAGAGGCAAGCATAGTACCGGAATAGTTCACTATCTATGGTTTATGGAATCTTACTTACCCAAGAGTCAAGGAATTTGATGATGACAAACTAATGAAGCAAGTGTTAAAAGTCTTCCATGATATCTTTGCGGAACCAGAAGGACTCCCACCCTCCAGAGGCTTAGACCATGTTATTCCTCTAGTGAATGGCAGTTCCTTAATTAATCCAAGGCCCTATAGCTATCCATATTTCCAAAAGAAGGAGATTGAACATGATGTTAAACAAAAGTTGGATGTTTCAATCATCCAACCGCGCTCTTCTCCATTTGCATCACCAGTCCTGTTAGTCATAAAGAATGATGGAACTTGGAGAATCTGTGGATTATAGGGAGCTCAACGAGATCACCATCAAAGATAAATTTCCAATCCATGTGATTGATGATCTTCTAGATGAATCACAGAAGACAGAAGTATTCTCAAAAATTGACTTAAGGTTTATGTACCGCCAAATCAGAATGAAAGAGAAATAAGCAGAAAACAGCCTTCAAGATCAATCATAGGCACTATAAGTGGAGAGTCATGCCATTTGCCTCGACCAATGCACCGGCCACATTTCAATCCCTCATGAACCAGGTATTTACGACCTACCTGAGGAAATTTATATTGGTTTTCTTTGATGACATTCTGATATACCACCCATCACTAGACCAGCACATAAGCACCTGGAATTGGTGTTCACCTTATTCAGGAAGCATCAATTGTTTGCCAAACAGTTCAAGTGTTGCTTTGCTCAAAAGGAAGTTGAATACTTGGGGCATATCATCTGTAAACATGGGGTTTAGGACTAACTCTAGAAATAGCAGCAATGCTAGCCTGGCTTCTTCCAACATCCTTAAAGGGTCTTCGGGGTTTTATTGGATTCGACGGTTATTACAAGAAGTTCATTCGCAATTATGGCACTATTAGCAAGCCCTTGACAGATATATTAAGAAAAGAATGGATTCAAATGGACAGAAGAAGCAAAAAGGGCTTTAGAAATATTAAGAGAAACCATGACCAAGAGACCAGTACTGAAACTGCCTGATTTCTCCATGCAGTTCATCCTCGAAGCAGACGCTTGTGGGGTAGGGATGGGCATTGTCCTTATGCCAGAGCAAGGTTTCTTTTCCAGGGGAAGGAATTGTCATGAAGCGAGCTCAAACAAGAGAAAATGAAACCAGAAACAGGCAATCAGGACGAGCTCATGAAGTTAGAAATGGAACCGAAAGCAGAGAACAAAAGGAGGTGGCGGTTTATAAGCGGAGAACTGGTAACACGTGGCTTAATCAGGAGTAAGTGGGGGGCATGTTTCGACAATTAGCTTAAGCAGGGAAAAGTGGGATACGTGGCGTTAATCAATGAATTTTGGGGCAATGTGGCAAAAATCTAGGTTAGCTATTTAAAGGGACATAGGGTTGGAAGAAGAGTCTCGAATTCAAATGGTCATTTCGTTTCTTCTTCCATTCCTCTGTTTACATGAAGGGTTTTCAGGACATATTCATGGCAATTCTAGCCTCTTTGGGGTTTAAATATGTCAAATAGTCTTTAATCTAAGCACCATAAGTTTGAATATTAAGAAAATATTTCCGATTCATAATCTTTTGAAGTCCTCTTTCTCCCTTATTCTCCCTCTCCCCTCTCCTTCGTCTAATCATATCTTCTTCACATTCTCACACTCATAGTGTACATGTCAAAAGTATCTAACAAAAGGATAGACAAACCCTTGAACCATCAATGTAGTAAACAATACTATAACCTATGACAACTGGAGAAAAAGGGATCTTCATGTGAAGAAATCTATGGAGTTGAGAATTTCACTAACAAAAATTCTTGGTGTTAGAGACACCAAATGATGGATGGAAAAGAGAGTGGTTGGAAAAGAGAGGAGAAAGATTACCAATGTTCTAAAAAACCCAGAGAAGCTCTAATACCATGTAAATTTAGGATAGATTCACACAATGGTTTTCATTTCATTAACTATAAATATACTCAAAAAGTTGTCTGTTTATGTTGCGCTCTACGAAGATAAATATTGGAGAAGTAAAAACTGAATGATGTAGGCAAATGAACATAAAACTCTGAGAAAATTTATTAAGATCTAAAGATGGAGTCTCAAATCTCAATAATCAAATCAGTAACTCAATATTTGTAAAACAATCATATGAATTGTCTACCAAATAGTTAAGTGAAGACATCCTATTTAAAAGCAACAAAATACAGTCATAGTAGGAATTGTTAAATCTATATAGGAATTCTACAAAATAGGAAAATAAACTAATTAATTGGTATATCCTGTCATAGAAAATAACTATATAAAATCTTAACTATCTAGGAAATAATAAACATATACTAAGCCTATACATACTAGTTTCTATATAAACTAAATACCTTAAGAAAACAAGAACATTTAATTACGTAAATATGTCTTATTGTTGGAAAATGTCCAGTTTAAGATCTTCCTGTTCTGCATCACTGAATCTATATCCTATCAAGTGTCTGGTTGGGTGTTTCTTCTTTTTCCAACTCCTTTTCTTAGTACTTTTTCAAGGAAGGAGAAGCTGAGCATCATTGTTACAGTACTTGGTTCAGCATCTAGTCATGAGTATTCATTGTAAAATCATGCAGCATGCTTGAAGCTTGTTTATTTGATTCTCGGCCTTAATGTAATATGATTGGGACTTGTTAGAAGGAATCCTTCTTTCTTCTGAAGTTATCATAAAATCCCCTTTTACTTGCTAAACTCTTGAATGATGTTTAATGATGAATTAGCTTACATTTGGACAGTATTACTGGTTTCCTACAAGGATTCTTAGTTGATCTAGACTAATTAAGGTAAAACAATTCCTGTTTTATTTTATTCCTACATAGTCAACCACGTATTTGGTTTTATTCTTGGGTAACTCCTAATCTATTAACATCTATCTCCTAATTAAGCCTAAACTACAGACATAACCAAAAGAGAGTTCCCATATAATGAGAGAAGCTGCTCTGTTCTTTCTCTTGTAAAATAGGGACCTCTGCTACAGCTTCCTCTGATACTCGTTTCTCTGCCATTTCTTTCTTCTCTTTCTTTGTAATTTTTGGGCCATAACAATTATTCTTCCTTTTTCTTGTTATCTCTAGGGAAGGGGTGGAGGATGTTTTAACTATTTTGTTCATAGGTTAGAAACATATTTATGTTCTTTTTTATTAATTTTGAAATGTCAATATCCAATTGTAATAGACTTTCTGTGTGCACAGCCTTGTAGGCAGAAGAAATTATTGAAGTTTCGGAAGAAGTCAGAAGAAAGGAGTGATGCAAGGTCATTGCAAGATTTGTACCGTACCTGGACTCCATCAAGAAACCCACTGGGACAATTAGAGAATCAGTTGGAACCAGCCATTGTGCATTCATCTTCTTCAGTTCTAAATCAGCAGAGGCAACTTCAAGGAACAGAGACCTCACAATATCAAAGTATCTCCAATCCATTTATGGCCACTTCTGTATATGGGAACTTGACAAATCCATACCCTGCTATGCCTGTGTTATCCGCTGTTCAGCCTGCTGAATTCAAGAATCAATTATTGCATCCTTCTTATGAGGTTTCTCCAGGTCCTCCAATTCCATTAAGCAGGTCAACAGACGCTCCTTCAAGACCTTTGACAATGACTCCGCGGGAGAAAATTGAAAAGCTACGGCGGCGGCAGCAAATGCAGGCTATGCTTGCTATTCAGAGACAACAGCAGCAGTTTAGTCATCAAGTTGCCGGTGCAGATCATCCTGTCATGCAAAAAAGCCCCCAAGATAGTCAAATCCAACTAGCTGATGCTGCTGACCTTGAAGATTTAAGTACTCTTCCTTCTTTTGATCAAAATTCACCTACAGAACATGATGATTCCAATACAATATCTGTGGCAGCTGATGATTATTCAGCAGAGGAATCAGTACTTTATCGGCTTCAAGATGTTGTTGCAAAGGTGTGCTTGATGTACCTGTAGGTTTTTTACTGTGTAGGTAAAAATTTGGACTCAGTGATAATATGTGCTTACCAACAGCTGGATATGAATATAAGACTTTGCATACGAGATAGCTTGTTCCGGTTGGCTCAAAGTGCAATGCAGAGGCATTATCCAAGTGATACAAGCAGTTCAAATAGAAGTAGCAGGGATGAACCTGAAGCTGTTGCAGAAGAAGAGGCTAAAGCCTGTAATAGGTTAGTTAACTTTATGCAATTTTTACATTACTTATTTTTTTATGTTTTGCATAGAAAAGGCTAGTTTGAGCCACTCATCAATTTTTTTAAAAAAATAAAAAGTTTAAATATATAAACAGAACACCAAGGAAGTGCAACCATATACAAAAATATTACAAGTTTTGTTAGGCAATCTATTATGTACCCAAAATCATCCACCCTATACAAGTCATGCCTAATAATTAAGGAACCAAATAAATAGAACCATCTATTCCTAATCTTTCCAATGTCGTTTTCAATCCCGTCAAACACCCTACATATTATTTATCTTCCAAATAATCCAAAAAATAGTAAATGGAATTAATCTAGTCAGTTTCTTCTTCCTTAAACCCAGACCAGACCAAGCCCCCACTTCCTCTCTTACTGAACCTGCCACCACCCAGCTGATCCCAATAAGTCCGAAAATCATGTGCCACAACTCCTGTACAGTAGAGCAGTGGAGAAGAAGATGACAGCAAGTTTCCAACTCCTTTTTACACAAAAAACATCTGTTGACCATCACCATATCCCTTCTCATAAGATTATCCACCGTCAATATGCTGTTTCTGCGTGCTTCCCAAGCAAAGAAAGCTAACCTTGGCGGAGCTTGAGTTCTTCAGATCAGTTTAGCAGGAAGCCGCGTCTGGCCTCCATCCCCCTGCCCCATAATGTGGCCATAATATGATTTCACGGAAAACTCCCCATTTTCCTTATGTTTCCATACCAGCTTATCCTTGTCAGTGGATGAAGAAATTTTAGAGAGCAAAAACAGTAAATTCTCATGTTCCTTTACCTCCCAATCATTGAGGTATCTGTTAACCATCACACTCCATTCCCCAACACCATTCCACACATCCTCCACCAGAATATTCTTGTTTTGAGCTATAGCATAAATGTTGGGGAATCTATCTTTTAGACAGCCCCCCCCACCCAATCATCAGTCCAAAAGAACACATTATTTCCTCTCCCAATCCTCCAGCTCACACACTCACTCCAGCAGCCACACTCACCAGTGAAAGGAGTTCATATATTTCAGTTTCAAGTAAATGAGAAAATTCCTTCCTGTTCATGCTCCTCCAGTTTCACGTATTTGTCGTGAGATTTACTCGCCCTTGTCAGAAATGACCATGGACAGTGCAAACTTGGTCTCTTGTGACTTCCTCTGTTGTTTTTTTTTCTTTCATTTTTTGTTACTAACGACAATTATGATATGTATAATAGCGGTTATAAGTCTTTGCATGGTTTTCAGGAAATATGTATAATAACGGAATAAGTCTCTGCTTGGTTTGCAGGAAATGGCTTCCTGGAAATTATTAATTTTTTTAATTTTCTTGTGTTTCAGAGGAAAAAGGAGAGAGAATGAAAAACTTTTTTTTTTCAGAAGAAAACAAGAAAAAAGCAAAAACTCCATTTGATACATAAAAATATTTTTAAATTTTCCCTTTTGAAACGTATATATAAACACTGAACTTTGCATGGCTGTATAATGTAACTTTTATACTCAAGTATATAAAAACAGTTTTTTCTTAAAATGGTAAAGATAATTTTTTATTATTTTTAAATGCATGCCACATTTTTGCAATCAGTTTCAAGAAAATTGTTTTAACTTATTATATATTTTATCTATTATATATTTTTATATAAATATATATAAATTTTAGAAACAACAAGTAAAAATATTTTCATGTAACTATGTGAGTCAACTTTCCCCTTTAGAAAAAGAGGAAGTTATTTTCCTTTGACTTAACAAACTCCAAATCTCCATCAATTTTGTATCTCTTATTCCCCTATGAAATATGTTTCTCTTTTTTTGTTCTATTTTCCCTCCTTGATCCTGAACCTTTTATTGTGGCAGATACATGAAGATGCCAGATGCAGAAACAGAGACCAACCCCATAGACCGGACAGTGGCACATTTGCTCTTTCATAGGCCCTTGGAGTTATCAGGAAAGCATCCTGAAACTCCAGAATCGCCTGCATCTGCAAAGCTCCAGTCAGAAAGGAAGACAATGGGAATAGCGGACATGCAATTAGGATATAAACTTGAGAGTTCTAAAATGAGACAAAGCTATCCTCAAGAAGAGGATAAAAGTCCTCCCCCATTAGCAGATAGGCCTGAATCTCTTAAAATTGATATATTCGAAACCAGTCCTTGCATGAACATTTCAGAGAATGCATCAAATTATGGATCGGCAGATGTTGGAGCTGCTGAGGCCGAATCTTCCCAATGAAGATCACAATGCAGAACTTTTTGAGGGTAATTCCTTCCTTTATTGCATCCATATCTTTGAAAATACCATCCTTGTATTTATACAGATTTAGTGGTAATCCCAAGGTTTTCTATTATTGTCAGCCAACTTGATTGTCATCAACAGTGGCCTCTGGAGCTTTCGGAGTCATGTCAGTTCGCTTCTTCTGCCGGTGATTGATTTCTTATATACCAGCAGGAAAGAAATGAAAAGAGTTCCTATTTTTTCTGCATTCACATGTCAGAAGTTACTTAATTGCTCGTCTCTGAAGTTGTCAAAGTTACATGTGTCTCCAAAAGATCGAATTGTCTGTAATAAATGTTATTGGAGATGACAACTTGTTATGTTTTTATGTTGTGATCTGTTGTCCTAATTGTGTGAAATCATGAAGCTGTGTAGTATCAATAAACCCTAATGGATTGATGTTGACGACGATGGAATTTCACGAGTTCTGTTACCAAGTTGCAGAACTGAACTTCATTATGGAACATATTTATACAGAATTTGAAATGTATGTCTAGACAATAAAATGCGATGACATAATTCGTCTTTAGATCTCTGAACATGTATATGTGTTTTTGTTTTTCCATTTGACGCATAAGTTTCGAGTAGCACGGAAAGCATCTTCATGTGTTAGTAGCGAAGAACAAGGATGTTGGTTCCTCTGGAAAGCACAAATCTGTTCACCAACATTGTATTCGCATCAGGTTGCTACTATCTATTGTAATATTTGAAACAAATCTGAAAATTTTGTAGAATTTATTTATAAATTTATATTTAGCTTGATTAGCAAAAGTCAAAAATTGTATTAAAATAGCAAAAAATTGAGTTCGTATACAATTTTATATGAAATAGAAATTTTACATTTTAACATTGTTGGATAAAATTTAAGATATATTATTTCAATTTTATACGATATTTCTTAAGAATTTGTTACGGGATGTCGATTACCTTTTCTGACTGAACTCTTTAGATGTTCGAAAACATTACAATACATTCAACCAAACATGATGGGACTGGGCATTCTGGAAGTCGACGCCCTTTACTTGAAACAAGTATTTATTTCTACTGACCAAATGCATGCTAAATTCGAGTTCATCATCAAGGAATGTCGTGAGATGTTCAAGAGTCGTTAGGATGTATCAGTTAGTTGCATCCGGAGAAATGGAAATGTATCGGTTTACCAGTTTGCTTAAAAAGTTTGTAATTGTTTATATTTTAATATATGTAAAAGATTACTTTCGACCTATTATAATTTAGTTAAATAAAATTTTGCATGATTTTTTTTAAAAAAATTTCTATTATTTTAAGTAAAAAGTTCGGTATCGTAAAGTTAAAATTAACATGTATTTATTTTTCATACATATTCTAAAAGTTAGCCTATTGTATTTGCATTTTAATACTGAGTCAATTATTAAAAGGTTAGTAAAATAGTTTACTAGGTTACATATAATGCAAATATTAAATATATTGTATTCATCGAATCATATTAAATAAAAATAATAATAATAATTAAAGTAAGTTACACATGTATTAAATTAATTATGAAAATAATATCTTTTAGTGGTGTGACTTAATGGGTTGAGGAGTGCATACAAATACATACGTGTATATATATATGTACATATTTGTATTAAAATTTTATAATATAATCTTAGAAGAATTTTTCATAATTTTATAAAAGATAATATAAGTATCATTTTACATTAAAAAAAAAAATTTATAATTATATGCGTAGTGAATGAAGTATAGAAAACATATAAATGATCAAGAGTTCATATAGTGTATAGTTTTAAATAGTAAATATATTATTATACATATTTGTAGCTAATTATTAAAAATTAAATTCTATTTTTATATTTAAAATTATTATTACATTGATTTTGTTTCTCCTACTATATATATATATATATATATACACACATATATATTATCACTTTAAACTAAAAATTTATAAATAATATAAATTAGGATAATATTAATAACAGTGTTGGTCAAGTTCTCAGCCCTAGCCCACTTACAACCCAAGAAAATCCAACGCTTTTATGGGGGTACGTCGAAATCCAGTGGCAAAGGACTCTGCTTTGCATCGGCAACGCATAAGATCTGTGGGCGTATATAATATGTAAGTATCTGTATCAGAATGGTTGGTGAAAGGCAGGGGAAATACGGGGAAAAACTGAAAGAGGGATGCAGATGGAGATTGAGTACGAAGAGAACGAGACAAAAAAGTTCAAGAGATTCAACAAAACTGGGAAATTTGCAGCTGCTGCTGCTTCTTCTTCCGCATCTATTAACAATCTTGACGATGGTTGCCTCATGCACATCTTCAGTTTCTTATCCCCTCTTCCAGGTACTTCAGTCAACCTTTTTTTTTTTCTCTTCTTATCTCCATGTATGCCGTCGGCACTTAATTTATGGTCAATTTTGTTGTTTTTCCTATACGCTGGTGTGTGTGTGTGTGTATAAGTATCGTAAAGTAGCTTTTATTTTGATTTCTCTTTTTGGAATTGAGCATTTCTCGCTTGTTCATGGTAGACTGGTTTAATGATGATTAGCTAGGGTTTGCTCTGTAATGTCTTCCAGCTAATTGTTTAGCCGATTAATTGTGCTTTTTTTCTCTGCTAGTGTTTGGGTGCTTAATACTTCAAATGAGTTAGGCAGTGGACCCTAACCGGGAAGAAAAAGAAGGATGTAAGAGATTTTTGTAACTATGTTGACATGGATTTACGTTGAGGTTTTGTGGTTGATGGTTTCATTTGACAACTTACTAACAGGGCATATGGGCTTGACACCTTATAAGCTTTCTTTGTTGGTTTAGAGGTTTCCTTTGTTGGATTAGAGGTTTCCTTTGTCTAGTTATAGATTTTCTTTGAGCTTCGTGTGGCTTTAGAGTGTATGAGAATTCGAAACTTAAGCGCTGTTTAGTAAATCAAAATATTTTTTGAACGTTTTTTCTGCTGAATTCATATATGTTAATAGATAAAATTATGAATTTTTTTAAAATCATTTTCTAACCCTTGTTTTTATTTTCAACAATTTATATATTTTATAGATAAATATGTTTCTTTCGAAACAAAACTAGAGAAGATATTCATAGCTCTCCACCTGATGCAGCTGTTGCTAAATGCCTATATATAGGCATCCCATTTAGTACCAGATACATCATTTTAGTCTTTGAATGAAAGTTTTTCCACCTAAAGTGTTCTCTTTTCTATGCTCTCTGGGTTCTTTGGCATACATTTGGCTCGTTCAGTGCGTGCAAGACATCCTTATTATTTTTTTAATGCATAGATAATTTATATGATCTCTTTGACATATTCTTGTTGAGTTTGCAGATCGCTATAACGCTGCCCGCGTTTGCCAGAGATGGCATTACTTAGCGGGTCACCCTCGCTTGTGGCTGCGAGTAGACCGATCCATTAAAGATTTATCAGAACCTGGAGTTTTCCCAAATATTGAATCAGCTGTATCAGCAGCAAGGTTTGTGGAGTTTGTGTTGCGTGATTCTTTATTCAATTGTAGCTCTCACATGTGATCATCGAATTGCTTCTTCTAGACCTGGCGACACCATTCTAATTGCAGCAGGCGGGATTCATCATGCATCTAATATTCAGATTGAAAAACCTCTTTGCCTGGTATATGTTCTTCCTTCAGAAGAATGCTCACATAGATTAATGTTGACTCTTTAATAGATCTTGAAGGAAAGCTAGTTAATATGATCATTATTTAATAAGCCATTGGTTTTGGGAAGCTTGTGAGTTGTTTGATGTCTGCTACTGCAAGTTGGTCGACAGAAAACTCCTTCAGCCTTTTGCTTTTCTCTGGGATATCTATGAACACAGTTTTTACCCAGCCACTAAAATTCCTTTTACTCTTAAATTTGACAATGATATTTGACATTAGGAATAGAAATTTTTGTATTTTCTTTTTTGAAAGAAAGAGTATATTAACAAGGCACCAAGGGACCTTAGCAGTTTATCCCAATGGCCACTAATATCCAGCATTTTACAGAATCCTTGGGTTCTAGTCTTACAAAGGGCTGCACCCTAAGCCCAAAAAAAAGGTGCTGAGTGTGGCACAAATTTTAAGAGAACAAGTTACAGTCTTGTCAAAACATCAAAAAGGTTGTTGAAATAGGGGTTAAAGACCTGAGATTGAAGGAAAATTTTCAGAGTAGTGTTGCTGTGCTGTTTTACACATATTTCACACATGGTTTCCATGCTAGGAAACTATCTATACGTCGAGACTTTTTATCGTGTTACTATTAAGTTATAAATTTACAAATAAATAAAGAAATCCACATTTTTTTAATGAGTAAATATCTCAAGAATAGAACATAGATTGTTTTTGGAATTATTCTCAGCAGTCAATACTCTCCCCCAAGATGGTTCACAGATATGTCCAATTCTTTAGTTAAGACATCAGTTAGCTGTCCAAAAGTCTCATGG